CTTAAAAGACTAGCTATAAGGTGTGTGCATGGGAAGCGGCACGCACGCAGACATGCAGCCAAGAACCAGAAGTGAAAGGGACTTGACAGGCAGTGGAGAAGTGATATTTGACACGTACGAACCTTAATTTCGTTTGTTATTATTCTAGCAGGTCCTCTCTTTTGGAGTTACGTACGTGAGAAATCTGTTAATGTCAGTGGTCGATCATCGATTCATTCGTCACATCGATGGATGGATTAGATCATGAGAGATCTACAACCATACATAGCAAAAATGGGCCCTCGTATGATCCGTGGACGCATGAAAGAATAGGGGGGAAGCGACGGCGCATAAGGGGGGAGAGAATGGGACGGTGCTGGGGTTCCCTTGCCGTCGGGATAACCGGATTGGGTCCCTCGGGCGGCGCACCGAAACGGCGCCATGAATGTGTCCTCACTGTCCTCACCTAAAATCGGAGGAGACGCCCGTCGGACCCATTAGTTTTTGCGTGTTTCCATACGGGTCCCGTCCTTCAGTCCGGCATGGTGGGTCCCACATATTTTTTTTTTTGAGACAATCACGCGAAGCTTTATTTATCCTGAAATAATGTTTACAGGGACAAAAATGAGATTACCGGGGTGTCCTAACCAAACATGGCGGCCCACCCCTAGCTTTAAAGCATGCTTCGCTAGATTGTGAGACTCGAAATTCGAGTTCCTATACTCATGAACAAAATTGCACTTTATGAAACGAGTCGCATGGTCTGATATTTCATGTAGAATTGCACCATAAGCAGCCGGGTTTTGCTCCTTCATGTCCTCGATCACTACTTTGCAATCTGATGCAACGTGCAGTCTCTGCAAATTCAGATCTTCGGCCAGGGCTAGAGCCTCCCGAATAGTAAGGGCTTCTAGTGTCGGTGGGTCATAAACACCCCTCACAAGTATCGCCGAAGCCCCCAGAAAATTTCCAGCGTGGTCTCTGCATAATGCCGCTGCAGCTCCCCTCCTCCGGTTCTTAGAAACTGCACCATCTACGTTGATCTTGCACATTGCCTCCGGGGAGTGAATCCACTGTGTTGGCCTCGGCCGTGCTCCTCCCTCCACCGGCCTTGCTCTGCTACTATTTTCCTGCATTGACCGAAGATCATTCATATAGGCATGAATAAAGTGATGAGTGGATTGAGGGCTCTAAAAAATGTCCTCATATATAGCCTTTCGCCTAGCTTTCCAGACCGCCCATAATGTTACCACCATGATCACAAACTCCTCCTGGGATAGTACTTCATGCATTGCAAAAATCCAGTTCCTTGCATTCCTTTCCATATTCTGGCTCATATGCTCCACAAGACTGGGATCGGACAGAGACCATATGCATCTAGACATGGTGCACTCCAGTAGGGCATGTTTCCATGAATCGTAACAGCCGCAAAGGGCGCAGCATTGGGTGGTAGACATATTGCGACGGTGCAGAACATCCATCGACGGGATCGAGTGTTGAGCTAGTCGCCACAAAAACACCTTCAGCTGCGAAGGCACCTTGATGTGCCATAGATCTGTCCACTCATTGCTCTGTGTGTTAATGTCTGAAACTCCACCAGATCCCTCCAACCAATTCTCACGATGATGCATTGTGTTCATCACCATCCTGTATGCTAACCTTACCGTGAATTTTCCACTCCTTTCACCCGACCATGCCCAAAAGTCGTCCATAGATCTTGTGCACAAGGGAATCGCCAAAATTGAGTCCACGTCAAACAGTAAGAAAGTACCCCGGATCATATCCTCTCTCCATGAAGCGGATGTGGAGTCAATCAGCTCTGACACTAACCTTGGGGGATTGACTGAGATGGATGTGATTGGTCTCATGGGACCGGTTCTTGGAATCCAGTTGGTATTCCAAATATCTATTGACGCCCCGTTTCCAACTCTTCGAATGATGCCCTGTTTCAAAACCTCTCTGCCATCAATCACAGCCCGCCATATTTGCGAAGGGTGGTTCCCCAACTCTGCATCCAGGAACCTACTCTCTGGGTAGTAAGCCGCTTTAAGCAATTTTGCGCTAAGCGATGTAGGGTCATCCATGAGCCTCCACGCCTGCCGAGCAAGTAGAGCAAGATTGAAAACCTCAATATCTCTAAAACCATGCCACCTAGGTATTTTCGTTTTGTCATGATGTCCCAAGCAACCCAGGCCGGTTTTCTTCTACCTTGTTTACTCCCCCACCAAAACTGTCTGATTATCGAAGTGATATTCTCACACAAGCCCCGTGGTAATCTGAAGCATGCCATTGAATAAACTGGGATGGCCTGTGCCACAGATTTTATAATCACTTCTTTCCCTGTAGCTGAGAGTAACTTCTCCATCCATCCACGAACCTTCTCCCATACCCTATCTCTTAAGTACTTGAATGTACCCATCTTAGACTGCCCTACATCAGTTGGCATTCCCAGATACCTGTCACTCAGAGACTCATTATGAACATTCAGGGTCTGCTTAACATTATCTCTGACCACTTGGGGACACCCCTTGCTGAAAAAGATAGAAGATTTATCATTGTTTATCCGCTGTCCAGAAGCCTTGCAGTACACATCCAATAGGTTTGATACCATTGTCGCGCCCTCAACACTTGACTTAAAAAGCAACAGGCTATCATCAACAAAAAGGAGGTGGTTAACCGACGGAGCTGAAGGTGCCACCTTGATCCCTTCCAAGCCTGGCGACTGAGAACTTGATTTTAAAAGGCATGAAAGGCACTCTGCTGCAATCAAGAAAAGGTAAGGGAAGATAGGATCTCCCTGTCGGATGCCTCTTGTGGGTGTGAAATGTTCTAGTTTCTCACCATTCAAAAGAACTGAGAAGGATACTGATTGTACCATATTCATCACTATCTGAACCCAACTTTGTGCAAAGCCCAATCTTTCCATCATGGCACGGAGATACGGCCACTCTAATCTGTCGTAGGCTTTCATCATGTCCAACTTCAATGCACATAAGCTGTTGGATTTAGCCCTGCTCCTCTTCATAAAGTGTAAACACTCATATGCACAAATAATGTTATCTGTGATTAGTCTTCCGGGAACAAAAGCAGACTGTTCCTCTGATATTATATCAGGGAGGACTATCTTCAGCCTGTTAGAGACAACCTTGGAGGCAATTTTATAGATTACATTGCAAAGACTAATGGGACAGAATTGGGAGAGTTGTGTTGGGTTCAGAACCTTGGGAATGAGGACTAGCACAGTATCGTTGACACATCCAGCCCCCTCTTCCCCTTGGGAATGAAGACTACCTTCGTCACCTCATCTCCGCAAATATCCCAGTGCCTCTAGTAAAAATGAGCTGGGAACCCATCCGGTCCCGGAGCCTTGGTAGGGAACATTTGGAACAGAGCCTTTTTGACCTCTTCCTTCGTATATGGCACCAAGAGCATCTCGTTCATGTCATTTGTGACTTTGACAGGAACCTTGGATAGCACATCCTCCATACCAGCTACCCCTTCGGACGTATACAACGTCAAATAGAAGTCCCGAACCAAGGATCTTAGTTCTGTAGGGTCTTCTGTCATGACTCCCAGGGAGTTGGCGAGTGCTTTTATCATGTTCCTCTTCCTTCGCTGACTTGCTCTTAGATGAAAAAACCGAGTATTGTGGTCCCCAGCCGAGAGCCATTCCAATCTTGAGCGTTATCTCCACATGAGCTCCTCCCTGTGATACAATTCTATTAGCTTCTCGTTGATCTTTAACTCTATATGCGAGGGTGCAGTCCTTGCAGGATCAGCTCACAGCCTTTCCAGTTCACTTTTCAAACTTTTTATCTCTTTTCTAACTGAGCCAAAAGTGCTCCTGTTCCATACTTCCAAATTCTTAGAGATCCTTTTGAGCTTCCTGCTAAGCTGTTCGACAGTACCCGTTGCTCTCCCTTCTATGCTGGGCGGGCCAATAAAAAGGAAAGCCCAATAGTTTTGCACCCATGGCCCAGTCTAGTCTACTGCACTTGCTATGGGCTGGGTGGGCCATGACCTTTTTCAGCAACACGTAGCTCCGCCAATGCACATAAGGGCTGAGTACGAGGATTGTTGGTCAGTCCGGACATTTGGACTGGGTTTGCCAGATGGTAAATTTCTGACCAGGTAGTGCCCGGGCATGCCACTCGAGCGTTTGGTGCCGGTATGAGACATCCGGTCTAGATGCTCCGAGAAATCTCGACAGAAAAGAGAAGTGGCTCTCCTCATGAGCTTTTGGTGCGTGCGCCTGCTGTGTTCTGCGTGCTCGTCGTCATGACACGATGGATGGTACGTATGCACCAGGGCACGCACGGACGCCTGGAGGGAAATGAACGGGATGGAACAGCGTTGGCACGTTGCGCTTGCAGTTGCAGGTGATGAGTGATGAGGCCGGCGGCGGTCAGCTCGCACATGCACATGTCAGCCATAGACATTGACGGGTGGTACGTGCGCGTTGGATGGGCGTCGATCGTACGTTGCAGGTCGGTCGATCTCTGGCGTCCCCCGTAGGCCGGCCGGGCGGCATGGGCATGGCTGCTGTGCGTCTGCCCCTGCACCAGCTCCAGCAATGGATCACTGCCAATCTCTACCTGCACAATTTAACGCCGCACCGGACCGGACGTACGTACGGCCGGCGAGTGCGTGCACACACACCGAGGCCGGCCGCAGTCTGCACGATGCCATTGTCATTGAATGCCTGATCGATGGATCGAAATGAATCGTGACACCAACCACAACGCAAACTTATACATATAAATGCCACTTGAATTCTGTCGATTCCAAGCTAAAGTCGACAGAATTCAAGTGGCATTTATCGAATTAACCCTACATATACTGCAACACTACGTCTTATATTTTGCCATAGTCCTTACGTGCATACATACATGCATGCGCCCGGTCCACCAGTACGTACGTAATATATAGGCATAGCTGATAGCTGGCTACTTGCTACTGTACCACCACGACTAAGTACGAATGCACCACTAACACACATGCATACGTGCAACACAAACACATCACATGACGGCGCAGGCGTTGGGGTTCTCGTCGCTGAACAGCTGCGGCGCGTGCAGCATCTCCACCCGGTACGACGTCGTCCAGCCCCCTGCTACCACTCCCCCTCCTCCGCCGCCCACGCCGCCGTACATCATCGCCATAGGGAACGCCTGCTCCGCCACCCCCGCAGCGCCGCCGGCCTCCTCCCCGCCCTCCTCCTGCCTGTTCTTGTTCTTGTTCTTCTTCTTGCCACCGCCGCCTCCTTGTCCCTGCTGCTGCTGCTGCTCCCCGGCGACCTTGTCGGCCCCCTCGCCGCCGTCCTTCTGCTGCTGCTTCTTCTTGTCGCCGCCGTCCTTGTTCTTGGGCGCTGGCGGGGGCACGACGTCGACGTCCCTCCGGAGCTTGCGCCGGAGCAGGTCGGGGAGGGCCTTGGCGTCCATGGTGCCCTGCACCGTCACGTGCTCCTTGGCCGTGTCCACCTTCACCTCCTTCACGCCTACATGCATTCATGCAGATGCAGCACCCAGGGCCAATCAATCATCTCGGTTTGCAGAGCCATGCATGCATGCAGTGTCGCAGCAGCGCTTGCTGGCTTGCTGCACGACAACTCCATGAATGAATGTACTACGTGCTGCATGCATGCCATGCATGGCAGGAAGAGTGCAGGAAGAGAGAGAGAGAGAGAGAGAGAGTGGGTGGGTGGGTGGTTGCATGCTCAGTCAATTATGCAGTTACCTTTGATCTTGTGCGCGGTCCGCCTGATCCGGTCAATGCAGCCGTTGCAGTGGAGCCCGATCTTCACCACCACCGTCGACTCCGGACCCTAATTAGTTAACAAACAAACTAACCACCATTAGCATGCATCAAGCTTATGTGTATACTAATCATGCACCGTACGTTTGATTGATTGCAACCGTGCTAATGATCAAATCTAATCTAATCACCTCCTTGTTGTTGTTGCTCTTCTTCTTGTCATCGCCGGCGGCCTTGGCGCCATTGCCGTCGCCGGCCTGACCCTTCTTGCCGTCGGCGGTGGTGTCGCCGCCGTCCTTCTTCTTCTTGGGGTTGGGTGGGTTGGGCGGGGACACGAACGCGACGGGCTTGTGCGTCCTGGCCTCGACGCGGTCCTTGATGTCCCAGGGGTCGACGGCCTTGCCGCTCACCGTCACCATGCCGGCGGCCACGTCCGCCGCAACGCCCTCCACACCCTGCGCCGCCTTGACGGCCTTGACGACCTTGCGGGCGCAGCCGTCGCAGTGCAGGTCCACCCCGAGCACCACGGGCGCCGCTTCTTTCTTCTTCCCACCGTCGCCGTCTTCTTTCTTCTTCTGCTGCTTCTTGTTTGCCCTCTCGTCGCCGGTGCCATTCTCCCCCTCTTTCTCCTTGGCGCCGGCACCCTCCGCCATGGCCGGCTCGCTCGCTCACTCGAGATGGATGTACTCGTGGTTGTTCTGCGTGTGATGTGTTGCGAGAGGAAGAAGAAAGGGAGAGATGGATCGGAGGTTGGGTTGGGCTGGGCTGGCGAGGGGAGAAGAGGAGGGCGCATAAATAGGAGCTACGGGACTTGGTCGTCGTCGTAGTACCTGGTCAGCTCAGCTCAGCTCAGCTCAGCTGAGACCGCTTCTCCTGTACATTACCAGTACGTTCCATGCATGCATGCATACGCCCGAATCTTTCTACCCCGCTCTTAGTTTGTTTGTTACAATTTACCAGAGGTGATTGCACTCCACATACATAAAATTGGCCGGTGGAAACAAATTGATTAAAAAAACCTTTTAATAAAGGACTCCACTGCAAATCTGGCGTCAGGTTTTTGACCATGGCAAATACTAGCACGTTTTTCATGGCAAATTATGTTCTTCAAGAATGTCAAATTTATCTGGTGAGCATGGCAAATCCTTCTTAGTTCATTTTTATATCAAAAGTTGCCGTGATTGCAAACTAAATTGGCCATCATCGCGCCAAGGGATGTAGATGGATCGGATTGGATAATGCTTTTGCCATATATTTTTTGTTGGATTCGGAGCTGAGCGGATAATGATCAGATGCGGATTTGAAAGTGGATTTTAAAAGATAATGGATTCAGAGCGGAAATAGAATGGAGTCGGACCGGAAGCAAAAAAAAAACTATCAGGTCAAACATGCAATGAGACATGGTTTTATTTCTAGTATGCAAATAATATTAATACAATTTTTTATCCAACCACATAACACTAGAGGCCAAGTATTTGAAGTCATGACACCAATATGGTAACAAACCTTTTTTTTTTGAAACGCCTGTAATTTTATTCATGCTTATAACATTTACAGGTACACTTATTTGGATCCAAAATCCAAGAAAATACCGGATAATCTACATCCATTGGATGTTACCTAAACCATATCTGTCGGATATCTGGTTGATAAAAATGCGTATCCGCATCCATATCCGGCAGATTTGTGCAAATGCATACCATATTCATAAAAACGGATGCGAATGCGGATTCGGGACGGAAATTATCCGTACCATTTTCATCCCTAATCGCACCAATATACATTGCCGTGAAAAATGTCATATTTGCTCTGCCTAAAAATCTGACGTCAGGTTCTTAGTGTTTTTGTTAAAATAAATGTTCACGGCAGGTACAAGAACTTGGCTTTCGGGTTCATAGTGGGTACAAAATTGATCGCCCTTGGTTTGACACGTGTGAAGTGTGATGTTCCCTTTTCAAAAAATAACTTCTGCATTTTCTCAGTTGGTTGATTTCAGAGAAAAAGGAAGCAGCAGCCGGCGGATGGAAGGAAGGAGCAGCCGGCGGTTCGCCTGAGAAGTAGCAGCCTTAGGGTGGCAGCCTCGTCAGATATCTATCTTAGAGGTGGGGGCAGGGGGTGCAGGTTCACCGGAAAAATCTGTTCATCGCCGGGGTTGAGATGGCCGGGGACAGCACCAGCACGAGGTGGGCGGCGGTTGAGGGGAGGGTGGAGCGACGAGGCTGGTGCCGGAGAGCCACCGACTGCGGACGGTGGAAGCTGGCGGTTTGGCCGATGGCCCGTGCGGTGGTTAGGGAAGGAAGATGAGCAGACAGCCCAAAAACATTTTTCAGCGGACTGACCCTTGGCCTATCCCTATGTTTTCATGATTGTAGCCCTCTCTCGAGGTCCACGGTACCGGGGTTGCCGAGGATGGCCCAGCGCTACTAGCCGAAATAATTACACTAGTGCGAGAGACACGGCGACCAAATCTCAAAACCATCACCCTGGACTATGGACGCCTGCCTGTGCCTTTCCGTCAGGCTCAGATCAAAGAGAGAATTCCTTATTTGGCCTGTTTTTAAATTTTGTTTCCCTTTTTGACCCAAAATTTTCCTTTCTTCCCTTTTTGACACTCAAACTTCATTTTGTTCCCGATGCGACACTTCCGTCAGTTTTGGCCACTAACGGTGTTAAGTCTGAACTGAAAAGACTGTTTTACCCCTAGTGTAGTTTGTGATCAGATTATTTACATACAAACACATGGATGATGTGATATGTTTTGTGATGTTGATAAACTAGATGATTCCCCGTGCGTTGTTGCGGAAAATTTTATGACGGTAAAAATTAAATTCACATATTATTCTTATGTATAGCAATCAGGTTTGTAGGTAATCTTGTCTGATATGCATGCATCTCTTAGCTAGATAGCGTCCATTAGATACGTACCTAGGTTAATTAGAGCAAAAAACTAATCATGTTTGCCTGATGCGTACATGCGCATACCAGCGATGACATGCACACACGCGTAACGGCACTGGCATGCATGCACGCGGAGAGAATTACATCTACAGTAACTGAACTTGACTCTAGGGTTCACTTTGGTCACTGTATTCATGAAATCGCAAGTTACGGTCACCAGACTCGCTGAACCGGGTCACTATACGGTAACCCATACCGTTTCGGCTCGTATCGGTCCGATTTGACCAGAAACCCGCTTTGACTCACCAGCTGGACATGACACGTCGAGGGTTTCTTCATCCTCTCCCCTCCCCTGTCGATTCCCCTCTCGTTCCCCTCATCCTACTGCTAAATCCCTAGCGCAATCTCTCATCCCCTCCACTGTCGCTTGGATCCAACAGTTGCATGAGATCTCCAGTTGCATCCTCTGCTCCCATGTCCGGCGCGGGTAGCTCATCGGGGGCCGGTGCGGGTTGGCTTCCTTTGATCCAATGCCCTGATTGCAAGATTCGCCAGATTAGGCGGTTTGAGTCCACCACTGAAAAGCATCCTGGATGGATCTTGTACAAGTGTATGAATCATAAGGTTAGCACAAGAACATTGACTGGATGTTGTTCTTCTTAATTTGATTTTCAGATTTGTTCTTGATTTGATTTTGAGATTTGTTCTTGATTTTGTCAAATAGGCAGGGAAGAAACCTTGCAACTTTTGGCATTGGGAAGCTAGTTACATTGATTATTTGAAGGTAAATGGACATCTGAGAGGTGAATCTGTGGATAGTAAAGTAGTAGAGATGAAGAAAAAGAAGAACACGACAGAAGTGGATCCTGAAGATATGATGAAGATGCTGCTGCTGCTAAAATCACTTCCAGGAGATGTTACAGACTTGGTTGTTGTAATGAAGATAGCAGTTGTACTGCTATTTGCAATTCTCTTTGTGTTAGTGTTAGTTCTAGTTAGGATGTGATTGTTGTCAATGTTGGCAATTGCTAAGTAAGAAGGAGACTTTTGTGTTGTTTGATGTCAGTGGTAATAGAAACCTTTGTGTGGAGACAACTTTGCTATTGGAAATTGGAGAAGTGGAAAATGTTTCTTCCTTTACTGAACATGCATTTAATAACATGTTGAACACTGACAAGAAGGAATAAGACTGAAATTTAAAAGTTTGCAGTTGATAACACAGAACAGTACTGAACTGAACATGCATTTTACTGTTGAACAAATGAAGAACATGAATTTGATAACACCATTTCTTTAGCATAACAGAAACTGGTCATTCATAGCTCCTTGATAACACACATAAGTATTTGAAAAGCATATAGTACTGAAGAGAAAATTACATCTACAGTAACTGAACTTGTCTTAACATCTAAAAATTGCAAAATACTTCATCCATTACATTAAATGGTCATTCAGGACCTGAATTCATCAAACATGTTAACTTTCTTGTGCTTATTTGCTGCAGCAGCTGCTTTCTTTTGCAGTGCAATAATTTTCTTTGCTTCCGCTGCTGCTTTCTTCTCTTCTGCAGCCCTCTTCTTTGCCTCCATTAGTTCTTGTTTTTTAGCTGCTGCTGCAAGCTTCTTGGCCTCAAGTTCTTGCTCTCTCTTTTTTCTTGCCTCTGCTTTCAAAGCTTCTTTTTCTTGAGCTTTTTTGGCCTTTTCAGCTTGTTTCTTGGCAAGGGATTCACCTGCTTTTTGCAAAGCAGCAGCTTCCCTTTGTGCTAGGATTTCAGCACACCTCTTTTCATGCAATATTTCATTGGCTTGCTGCTTGGCCTCCCTCATCACTTCAACTCTAGCTGCAAGATTTCCTAATCTTGTTGCAGTGCTGCTACCTACAGATGGCATTGCAGCTCTAGCTTCTTTGAGGAAAGAGCTTTCAGGCAATGGTGTTGGCACCTTTCTTTTCCTTGGTTTAGGAGCCTGTAACAGTAGTGAAACATGAGATGTATTTCACATCAAGATCATATTTTTAACAAGGTTCAATGGATATACCTCATTTCTCATGATTTCCATCATTGAATATGGATGAAGAGCTCCAATTGGAGGCATGTCATGTTCCTGTGTGACAACAGGCTCCTCACTTGCCTGTGTCATTGATGGTCCAGGTGCTTGTTCTTGTGTTGTAGCCTACACATTTGCAACAAGGTTAAATGGATGTATCGAGCACTGAAATATTTGCCAGAACCTAAAATGGATGTATCGAGCACTGAAATATTAGCCACAAGCTAAAATGGATATATCGAGCACTGAAATATTTGCCAGAAGCTAAAATGGATATATCGAGCACTGAAATATTAGCCACAAGCTAAAATGGATATATCGAGCACTGAAATTTTTGCAAATGTTACCTGTGACAGAGTAGGTTCTTGTTCTTCTTCTTCAAATGTGGCTCTTGGCCTCTTCCTCATTTGCTTCTGCATAGGTTTTGCTGCAGGTAGGCCTTGCTTGAAGGCAGAGCACCCTTTCTTATTATGTCCAGGATTGTTGCAATGGCTGCAATGAATAATTGTGCCATGTCTTGTAATCTTTTTCCCTCCTTTCTTTGCTATTACCTCCTCTGGTTGCATTCTCCTATTCTTGGCCTTTCTCCCTAGTTTCTTCTCATACAAAGGAGGCTTAATTACACAACCACCCATTTTCTGCCACTCCATCCTGTCTTTGCAAGGCATAATAATGTAAGCATATGCTTTGGAGAAATTGCAAAGATCATA